TAGTTAATGGGGATAGTGAAAGACTGAAACAAATAAGGCAAGAAAAAACAAAAGGCCATATAGACTGGAAAGGAAGAAGAAAAAGTATCTTTGCAGATAAAATGAGTGTCTATTAGAAAATTCTGTAGCATCTACAAAAAATATTCTAAAACTAATAATTGCATTTTGCAAGCTCATGGTAAACAATATCAATACACAAAAACAATAGTAAATAGCAATGAATAACCTGAAATTAAAATCTGAAAAACAATGTTATTTACAATAGTATGGTAGTAGTACCAAAAATTATGAAATATTTTGGTATACATTTTACAAAAGATGTGGGAGAACTATAACTAAAAACTACAAAATACTGCTTATGGACATTAAAGAATACTCAAATAGAGAGATACAGGGTTCATGGTTAGGAAGACTCTTTATTCTTTTTTTTTTTTTTTTTTTTTTTTTTTTTGAGACAGTTTCGCTCTTGTTACCCAGGCTGGAGTGCAATGGCGCAATCTCGGCTCACCGCAACCTTCGCCTCCTGGGTTCAGGCAATTCTCCTGCCTCAGCCTCCTGACTGGCTGGGATTACAGGCACACGCCACCATGCCCAGCTAATTTTTTATATTTTTAGTAGAGACGGGGTTTCACCATGTTGACCAGGATGGTCTCGATCTCTTGACCTCGTGATTCACCCACCTTGGCCTCCCAAAGTGCTGTGATTACAGGCTTGAGCCACCGCGCCCGGCGACTCTTTATTCTTAAGATGTAATTTCTTGGCTGGGCATGATAGCTCCTGCTTATAATTCTAGCACTTTGGGAAGCTGAGGTGGGGGGATCGCTTGAGCTCAGGAGGTCAATGCTGCAGTGAGCTGTGTTCAAGCCACTGTACTTCAGCCTGGGCAACAGAGGGAGACCCTGTAAAAAAAAGATGTAGGCCAGGCGTGGTGGCTTACACCTGTAATCCCAGCACTTTGAGAGGCCAAGGCAAGTGGATCACCTGAGGTTAGGAGTTTGAGACCAGCCTGGCCAACATAGCGAAACCCCATCTCTACTAAAAATACAAAATTAGTGGGGTGCAATGACGTATGCTTATAATCAAACTACTCTGGAGGCTGAGGCAGGAGAATTGCTTAGACTCAGGAGGCGGAGATTGCCATAAGCCAAGATGGCACCACTGCACTCTAACTCGGGGGTGACAGAGCGAGACTGTCTCAAAAAAAAAAAAAAGTATTTTTTTCCTAAATTGATCTATAAATTTAAATTTTATGCAATCCTAGTAAACATTCTAGCATTTTTATATAAATTGACAGGTTGACTCTAAAATTTATGTTGAAATGCCAAGTTAGAACAACTTTGAATAAATTAGAGAATTTATGCTTAGTGCTGTGCTGATACTTGTTTAACAACTAGCTCTCTGGAAATATTTTTGTGGTGTAAATATGCCATGGCCGATTTCAAGCTACTAATGTGATATCACTGAACACAGGGTACAGAAGAGATGTACAAGATCAGCTCTTTTAAATGGGTACACCCAGTTTCAGCACACCTCTTATTACTCTACATGATTTTAAGATTTATCATAAAGCTAAAGTAATCAAAATGGTATGTTATTGGTATGGACAATAAAAATTCAGTAAGAATGTATAACGAGTTCAGAAATAGACTGACACATATATGACCAATTCATTTTTGACAAAGGTGAAAAGATAATTCAGGAAAAAGAGTTTTTTCAACAATAGTACTGGAAGAGTTGGATATTTACATAAAAAAAGAACTTTCCATGTCTTATACAAATGTTAACTTAGATCATGGTTTTTAAATATAAAACAGAAAACTTCTGAAGTTTTAGTAGAAAAACTTTGTAACCTTGAGTTATACAAATACTATATATGACACTTAAGGAATGATTCAAAAGAGAACAAAATTCATAGATTTGACTTTGTCAAATTAAGAACTTCTGATCTTCAAGTCATAGTTAAGAAATGAAAGGATAAGCTATAGACTGGGAGAAAATATTTGCAAATGATATATCGGATAAAGGGCTCATATTAAGAATACATAAAGAAGCTGGGAGCAGTTGTCTGTGCCTGTGGTCCCAGCTACTTGGGAGGCTGAAGCAAGAGAATTGCTTGAGCCTAGAAGGGCAAGGCTGCAGTGAGCTGTGTTGTACCACTGTATTCCAGCCTGGGCAACAGAGTGAGATGCTGTCTAAAAAACAAACAAACAAACAAAAACATGTTTGTATTATGATTTGTATAGGCAATTTTTCTAATGAAAAAAAAAAAAAAAATCAGCCAGGCATGGTGGCTCAGACCTGTAATTCCAGCACTTTGGGAGGCCAAGGCAGGCAGATCACCTGAGGTCAGGAGTTCAAGACCAGCCTGATCAACATGGTGAAACCCTGTCTCTTATTAAAAATACAAAATTAGCCAGGTGTGGTGGTGCATCCCTGTAATCCCAGCTACTAGGGAGGCTGAGGCAGGAGAATTGCTTGAACCCCAGAAGTGGAGGTTGCAGTGAGCCGAGCACTCACCATTGCACTCCAGCCTGGGCAACAAGAGTGAAACTTCATCTTTAAAAAAAAAAAATCTAACCTAGATAAAACCATTAATCCAATGCAGAAGAACCTTCTAAAGAGCTTTGGAGCTAGAGGTCTGTATTATGGTTCTATTCTATCACTTTGGGTATCGTTACTGTGATTTTCAGTTTGCTCAAAATGAGGGAGTTGAAATGGTTGGCTTATAAGGTCATATATAGCTGAAGAATTCTGTGTAAAATAGGAAGAGTTCTCAAGAAACTTGCATGTAGAACATAGTGCTCTCCATTCACATTTGTAAGTGTTTTAAATACTTTTTATAAGATTGGAATGACTGATGGAGACTTACATATCTCAGTATTGTAATTAATTTTGGGAGGGAGGTAACAAAATCCTTATTCTCAAGGAAAATTGTAAGCAAATGTAACATGACAACTATAACTTTTATGGTTTTAGATAAACTCAATTTTTATAAAATAGTTATATTTTGAAGTAGAATTTCTATTCACAATAATTTTGTTCCATATTTTTGAAATATCTAAAATATTCTACCAATTATTTTGAGTTTTATTTTGGCTGTTTAAAATGACAAAGAAAAGCCCAGTTGGCTATCTTTCTGTTATAATTACATCATTTTTGAGATTTGAGAGGATTTATTTTTGTTAATACTAGTTTACAATACCTCCAAGAGTAAAGATCTATTTGAGATAATTCTGATAAGCATTATTAGTTTAAGAAATTACATGATACAATATATCAGTCTAGCAAAATCATACTTATATTCCATGAATATATAAAAATAAAAATAAATAGGGCCGGGTGCGGTGGCTCACGCCTGTAATCCCAGCACTTTGGGAGGCCGAGGTGGGCTGATCACGAGGTCAAGAGATCAAGATCATCCTGGCCAATATGGTGAAACTCCGTCTCTACTAAAAAATACAAAAATTAGCTGGGTGTGGTGGCGCGCACCTGTAGTCCCAGCTACTTGGGAGGCTGAGGTAGGAGTATTGCTTCAACCAGGAGGCAGAGGTTGCAGTGAGCTGAGCTCATGCCACTGCACTCCAGCCTGGCATCTGGCGACAGAGCGAGACTCTGTCTCAAAAAAAAAAAGAAAAAAGAAATAAACGTCTTCCCCAACTGCTCAGAAGTCATTTATTCTGTGTTAGTATTTTCCAAATGTATTTGACCTCAGAACATATATGGCATACTTATTAACCCCTACCTACTATTAAATGAGGTATTCTATGTGACACTAGTTTGGAAAAATGAGACAGTACTTTTATTCACTGTATTGTTGTGGTATCAAATGTCCCTCCTGAAATAGCAGCAGCCAGTGTGATTAAGACTTCCAGTAGCTGTCTGGTTTTTCTATTTATTTATGATATCCTTTCATGTATGTTATATAAATTTTAGTTAAAATTATTTTAATCACAAATGAAACTAACATGAGCTACTTTAAGCAACAATAAAAAAGGGAGGTTTATTTTGAGGCTATAAAGTTATCCCAAGAGGAATATAGGGATGTAGATATCTCAAAAGCAGGGAGTCAGTCTGGCCAAATGAGGAATTAGAACCAGGAAATAGCCTGATGACTCCCACTCTCTTTCTCTAGGGTCACTTGGTCTTTCATTTCTGCATCTATCTGCAAGTCTATTACATCTTTCTTTACAGATCCAAGTGTCAGCCAAAATATTCCAGTGCTTTGAGATTTAGATAATATTGACATGAACCATATTTCATACCCAGTGGGGCTCTGGTGGCTCCTGTGAGATTTCTACAAATTTCTGAATGAGAAGGCAGTGAGATAAGGGGGTGGGGGAATGCCAAGTTGATGTTCTCATGGTCACCTCTGGCTGTGGGTTTCTGTTTCCATATGTAATCGATTTTATTGAAGGTTTAGGGGTTGATATAATAGGAATATAATCAGGATTGCCTGTTGGGGATACTTTCAGGTACTCCTGAGAAAATTCTTTTGGTCCTCATCCAAAAAGTCCTTACACTTCAAACTTTCTTACTGACTTCTTTCTCCTTTCCTGGAGACAAAAGACAGATTTTTATTTTGTTTTGTTTTTGTTTTCGTTTTTGTTTTTTTCTGGTGTCATCCAGAGTAGTTTTACCATCTGCTTTGTTTCTGTGACTTCTTGGTCTTAAGGTCTTACATTCTATCCCAAGCCTCTCAAACAAGGATGTGTCCCTTTGCTAGGGTTAATTAGCACATTTATTTTCACACAGTTCTTGAGGGTTAAAAGTCTGAGATTAGGTTATCAGCAGGGTTGTCTTCTTCTGAGAGCTGTGAAGGAAGGATCCATTCCAGGCTTCTTCTTGTTTTGTAGATGGAAATGATCTCACTGCACCTTCACATTGTCTTCCCTCTTTATTTGTCTGTTTCCAAATTTCCACATCTTAGTAAGGATACTGGTCATGTTGGATTAGGGCCCATCATAATGACTTCACTTTAATTACTTCTTTAAAGACCCTAGATCCTTTTGTGTTTCATAAACTAATGATTGTGTTTTTATGCTATTGTGTGAAGTATGCCTCCCTCAGACCTTGTTACCAGTCTGCACATGAAAAAGTTTAAAAAAGGATCCTATCTCTAAATTTGCTTACATTCTGAGGTACTAATGGCTAGGACTTCAACAGAAGAATTTTTGGAGCAGGGACATAATTCAGCCTATAGTGCCGGTAGTTGTTAAGATAATACATTTTTGCCCTTGCTACTTTTGCTTCACAGTGTTTATGGTGGGGGGAGGTTCTCCCTTAAGCAAATTAGTTTAAGCAAGCAGCCTTAGCTGATTAGAATTGGGTCTCAATTCCACATCTCCAGAAGGGAGAATTAGATTAACAGTGGTTCGATTTTTGTGTCCACCTCAGAATACTCACTTTTGGCCTGGGATCAGGTTTTTTCATACAATAAGGCTGATGGGGTTCATCCTTGTTGATTAGAAACAGTTTTCAGTGAAATGAGACAATTAGGAGCTGGTTAGTCCACTTAAGCATTTTCTTCTACCATTTAAAAAGATAAATTTTTAAAAAGATAAATAAATTTTTAAAAAGTGGGCAGTTGTAATCACGTTCTCTGAGTTCCTGTCTCCCTGCCAGTGCTGCCTGAATGGCCTCCCAAAACTGCAACACAGCTGCCACCAGCATTGCTGCCCATAAAAGAGATGAGCACAGCAGGGGTATGGCACGATACAGCAGGAGCTGAAGACTCTGGTGATGTCTGGCAGCAAAGAAATTTCTGCCTTACCTGCATCAGACAGCCTTTTGAAATCAGTAGGACCATCCCTGAAGCACAGATCTGAGATATAAGGTTTTCCTGGAGTTCCCCAGTGGCTACCTATACAACATGCCCATGGTTAAGTTCCTCACACCCTGCTACTATCTCAACGTGGATGCCCAGTGTAACACCTGTCTGGACATCCCGAAGGACAAGTGTTCCGCCTTGTATGATGTCAAAAACATCCTGCTCTACATCCACAGCCTGCTAGTAGAACTCAACATCAATAGTCTTTTGAACACACATGCTGCTAAGCTCTGGAAAAACTCCCCAGCTTTTAAGATATACCTGCAAGAAATGTACTGAAAGCAGGTCTCCAGTCAGGAGCCCTGACTTGGGCTGCCCAACCTCTCCTTGTGTTGTCTTTTCATTTTCCCTTAGATAGTCTCTCTTTTTCTTGATTTCTGTATAGGACTCTGTATCTGGAGCTGTGGTGTTATTTTTGTTTTGTTTCTGTTTATTTATTTATTTAATATATTTTATTGCACTTTAGGTTCTGGGGTACATGTGCAAAACATGCAGGATTGTTGCATAGGTACATACATGGCAATGTGGTTTGCTACCTCCATCCCCCCGTCACCTATATCTGGCATTTCTCCCCATGTTATCCCTCCCTAACCTCCTTACCCCCCACTGTTCCTCCTCTATTCCCCCCCAATAGACCCCAGTGTGTGATGCTCCCCTCCCTGTGTCCATGTGTTCTCATTGTTCAACACCTGCCTATGATTTTCTGTTCTTGCGTCAGTTTGCTGAGAATGATGGTTTCCAGATTCATCCATGTCCCTACAAAGGACACAAACTCATCTTTTTTTATGGCTGCATAGTATTCCATGGTGTATATATGCCACATTTTCCTTGTCCAGTCTATCATCAGTGGGCATTTGGGTTGGTTCCAGGTCTTTGTTATTGTAAACAGTGCCACAAGGAACATACGTGTGCATGTGTCTTTATAATAGAATGATTTATAATCCTTTGGATATCTACCCAGTAATGGGATTGCTGGGTCAAATGGAATTTCTATTCCTAGGTCCTTGAGAATTACCACACTGTCTTCCACAATGGTTGAACTAATTTACACTCCCACCAACAGTGTAAAAGTGTTCCTGTTTCTCCACATCCTCTCCAGTATCTGTTGTATCCAGAATTTTTTTTTTTTTTTTTTTTTTGAGACGGAGTTTCGCTCTTGTTACCCAGGCTGGAGTGCAATGGCACGATCTCGGCTCATTGCAACCTCTGCCTCCTGGGCTCAGGCAATTCTCCTGCCTCAGCCTCCTGAGTAGCTGGGATTACAGGCATGCGCCACAATGCCCAGCTAATTTTTTGTATTTTTAGTAGAGACGGGGTTTCACCATGTTGACCAGGATGGTCTCAATCTCTTGACCTCGTGATCCACCCGCCTCGGCCTCCCAAAGTGCTGGGATTACAGGCTTGAGCCACCGCGCCCGGCTTGTATCCAGAATTTTTAATGATCGCCATTCTAACTGGTGTGAGATGGTATCTCAATGTGATGTTGATTTGCATTTCTCTAATGACCAGTCATGATAAGCATTTTTTTTCATATGTTTGTTGGCCTCATAAATGTCTTCTTTTGAAAAGTGTTTGTTCATATCCTTTGCCCACTTTTGAATGGGTTTGTTTCTGTTTATTTTTTATTTCATTTTTGAGACAGGGTCTTGCTCTAACAGGCTATAGTGCATTGGCATGATCATGGCTCACTGTAGCCTTGACCTCCTGGCTCATTTAATCCTGCCATCTCAGCCTCCTGTGCATCTGGAATCACAGGTGTGAGCCACAGTGCCAGGCTAATTTTTATTTTTATTTTGTAGAGATGGGGTCTGTCTGTGTTATCCAGGCTGTTCTGGAACTCCATGGATCAAAAGATCCTCCTACCTTGTCCTTCCGAAGTGCTGGGATTATAGGCATGAGCTACAACATTTGGCCCATTTCTGTTTTTAAAATTAAGTCACTGATTGAGCTCTTGTGATGTATATTAAATATATTTTGATTATAAAAAAACAACAAAAATTGTAAATTAAAATTTATTTAGAATCAAAAAGAAAAGAGTACTATGGTATATTTTCTAATTTCAGTGGCTAAAACCAACTTCAATAGTAGAATATACTCTTTTAAGAATTTGTTACTCAGAAAAAAATGCTATGATTGATCAAAACTTAAAAGGAAAAGAACCTGAAATGGTTATTTTATATCTGTATTTAAAGATTAAGTAATTGATATACTTAAACTTATAGTATGAAGCCATAGACCTACAAAGCAAGATGAACTAATACAACTTGCATTGTCTGAAATTACCTAAGTACTATACAGGTGCTAATGAATTCTCCAACTTGAGGAGACATGCAGTGGAAATTGCATCACTCTGGTTCTGTGTGCTGCTGTAAGCAGTGATTTTTTTTTTTTTTGCCCACCTATAGTTTTTTTTTTTTCCCTTTAAGTTACTACCTTGTGCCAAATTAAGAGATACGAATTTGCAAATAGCTTCACTTTATATGCCAGCAATAATTAGACTCACAGGGAAAAGTAACCTCATCTACATTTACAGAAGAAGTTAGTATTTTATATTTCACTCACTGGATATGTGTGTCACTAAAACTTATTTTTTTCTGTGATATATTTTAGAAATTTCCTATGTCTGAGAGTGTCATGATCAGTGTCTTTAATGCCAGAGAAGTCATAATTAGCTAGAAACATGGCTGGAGGTCACATTTTCTAAGTAGGAACATGCTATTACTTCTGGCTTGGAAAGCAGTGGCACACTTTTATGTATCTCCCTAATGGGCTTCCCCTTCTCAGCACTATGGTAGTCTTGTTAAGAGTTTGAATTTCAAAATGAGAAAGACCTGAGTTAAAATCCCAGTTCAACCATGTACTAACTGTAACATCTTAGGTAAGTTACTGGGCTTCTGAGTGTAGTTTCTTCATCTGTAAAAAGGAATAATAAGATTATTACAAGGATTAAATGGGATAATATTCGCAATATGCTTAGCAAGAGCCTAACACATAGTAAAGGTTTTGAATGTAGTAGCAATAACTAAGATGATATTAATCATAGTTTTCAATGCCAGGTTGAAAACTGGGGAAACAAAGTTGCATGGGCCATGGTCCCTATTTATAAGAAGCTCATAGACCAACAGAGTATGTGACTCAAAAAGTGTCACTGTAGAGGGGTGGGAGGATTGGGGAGATGTTGTCTAAAGGGCCCAAAATTTCAGTTAGACAAGAGGAATATTGCAAAAGATCTATTGTACCTCATGGTGATTATAATGAATAACACTAGATGGTATACTTGAAAATTGCTGAGTGTAGATTTTAAGTGTTCTCATGACCAAAAAATGGTATGTGAAATAATGCAGATGTTAAATGGCTTCATTTAGCCATTATACAATATGCACATATATCAAAACATCGTGTTATACACCAAAAATACATACAATGTTTATCAATTTAAAAAAGTATCACTGTAAATGTATCATTATATTGGGAATGCACTTGGTACTGGTATTTCCATTCAATGCTATGTTATTCTTTTTTTTTTTTTTTTTTTTTTTTTTGAGGCAGAGTCTTTCATGCTCTGTCATTCAGGCTGGAGTGCAGTGGCATGATCTTGGCTCACTGCAACTTCCACCTCCTGGGTTCAAGTGATTCTTCTGTCTCAGTCTCCTGAGGAGCTGGGATGACAGGTGGGCACCACCATGCCCAGCTAATTTTTTGAATTTTTAGTAGAGATGGAGTTTCACCATGTTGGCCAGGCTGGTCTTGAGCTCTTGACCTCAGGTGATCCACCTGCCTCGGCCTCCAAAAGTGCTAGGATTATGGGCATGAGCCACTGTGCCTGACCCTATGTTACTCTTTTTTTAAAATTACCTATAAATGCCAGGCACAGTGTCTCATACCAGTAATCCCAGCACTTTGGGATGCTGAGGTAGGTAGATCACCTGAGGTTAGGAGTTTGAGACCATCCTGGCTAACATGGTGAAACCTTGTCTCTACTAAAAATACAAAAGATTAGCCAGGCGTGGTGGCACAAGCCTGTAGTCCTAGCTACTTGGGAGGCTGAGACAGGAGAATCGCCTGAATCCAGGAGGCAGAGGTTGCAGTGAGCCAAGATCTTACGACTGCACTCCAGCCTGGGCAGCAGAGTGGGACTCTGTATCTCAAGGAAAAAAAAAAAATCCCTATAAATAAGGCCAGGTGTGGTGGCTCATGCCTGTAATCCCAGCACTTTGGGAGGCCAAGGTGGGTGGATCATGAGGTCAAGAGATGGAGATAATTCTGGCCAACACGG